TTTGGAGTTTTTGGCTTTGTTTTTATTATATACTTTTACTAAACTTTTATTAGTGTAACAGTTATTAAACTTATAAATCACAGGAACCCCAGATCTCCAAGCGCATGGCCTTTGGCTCACGAGAGGTTGTATCTAGCGCTAGTGTAAAACTAATCTGGACTAGTTTAGAGAATAAGCCTACGATATTTTTTTCTAATATTTTATAACGTTATGAAATAACGTTATTACATTTTTCTAATATTGGGTTATTATAAATGACTATGGTAACACTGGCTAATGCACTACATACATAAAAAACCGGCTTCACTTTTTTGTTCGGCAGACTCCGTCTTTACTTTTTATTTGGTCTGAGGTCACACACTAAAAATATGACATAACTTAAATAAAAATAAACAGAAATAAAAAACAATAGCAATTTTCGACATTTTTGAGGCTGACTGTTATGTATATATGTATATGTATTATTATGTCGTAGGATGATTTGATAAATCAAAAAGTCGTAAAAAAATCATTTCTAATCTTACTGAAAAAAAAGGATTTTTTTGCGAAAACCCTCAGAAAAATTCGCTGGCTAATTTTAAATATTTTTGGGTTTTTGGGTTCACTCAATGTTACTTAAGGTTAGTGTTAACCAGACAAAAATTTCGTTAACAGTAAGCAATATCATCGCCATTGTCCAATTATCCGCGTTTACGCAAAATCCCTAGATCTTTTGGGAAAATTTGATTTAAGAAATCATCCTACCACAAATACATAAGTATCAGACCAATTGAAAAAAAATTCTAGCTAATCATTATTTAAATGATTTTACTGACTCCCTTGGAGCAACCCTATACAAATTTACTAATCAGCGAACTAAGTTTGTCGCATAGCCTTACTTTATCGACACTACGATCATTCAATAGGTCATTAAGACTAGCACAGCCAGTACAATGGAAATCTAAATATAGTAGGTAAGCTATGCTGCAGGACTAGAATGGCCTTCACAGCTAAGCTGCATTGCGGTTCATAGAATCACGCCATCGTTTGTGTTGCTGCAGGTTCGAATAAATCTATTGTCTTACCTTGAGTTTTCAAGTCTAATATAATGAATAGAAAAGAAAAAAAGAATTCCTCAAAAACTTTTTTCTTTTCAGCATTTCCGAACGAAGCTTCACTGTAAAAGAATTTCTGTCAAATTGAAATACTTAGCTACGTGGATCTAGTTACAATGGTCGCCTCATTTGATATTCAAATTCAAAATATGTTTAAATTGAGGCTTTAAAATAGCTTTCATTCTATTTTCGTGGAGCACCAACGAACAAAGTGAGTACCTATTTATGTGAAAATTAAAACAAATATTTGTTGCCGTTTCCTAGTCAGATCATTTACTTACACGCCTTTTATACTACATTCAAAAAATTTATAAGAGATTTTGTCTTCAGACAATGCAGTTGACTTCAACATATTTATTTTAACTTCAGGGCAGGACACACGTAATTAATGGTACCCGTATTTTTTTATGAAACTTTTGAATTGCTTCTTAAAAAAATCACGCACTTAATCTTTATTAAGTCGTGTTACCAAAATTATGCAATGGAACGAGTTTTTAGAGAACTAGGTTTTTTGGCTGGACCTGAAATCAAATCGAAAATTTTCGGATGTCATAAGGATCATTGTAAAGAATCAACACGAGTGCAGCAAAATGCGTACTAAGAGCCTGCGCTGCGTTAAGCGGGAGCACGGAGCGCTTGGCGTGTTGGTTTCGAGTTATTTCATAGAGCAGCGCTAGGTCCGTGCGCCCGTTTAACGCACCGCACGCTCTTAGTGAAAATTTAAATTAAATAATTAAGTTCATTTTCTCTATTAATCTATTATATTAATAAACTATTGAACATTTTTGTCAAAAATGTTCAACAAAAATTTTTCGTGTTTGTTTTATATCACTCGAAATTCCTCAATTTTATTAAATATAACGATAAAGTTAAAAATCATCAAATGTTAGGCGGTGTGAAGTGTGTCGGGTTAGCTAGTATCAGTATAAAGGTTCAATTAACCAGGGCGCTAATAAAAGCAGCTGAAGCACGTGTTAACTAAAATAAAAAGAAATACACCAAGGTTTGTATTGTAATTTACACTCCTCCACTATAATAAACCACCAGTGTCTCTTGAGAATTTGTAGCGTGACGTAATATATGTTATTCTTGGCCGGACTGTTTTGCATTAGGTCACTGAAATGCGTTTACACAAAGACATGACACGTGAAGGTAACAAGCATTTGTAACATAAGAACTGAGCGTATGTTAAGCCGGGTACTCATTAGCGAGCTGTAATCGTAACATGCGTTATACAGTACGAGGTCCTAGTGAGTATTCTTGTTACAGTTAAGGCTCATGACGTCGCCGGAACGCTTTCACCAGGCGTACTCATTTTTAGAACTGCAACTGTAACCAAACAGATACAGTGATGGTTTTTAGGTCCACGATATCGGACGAAGTATCTCTCGCTTGTATAGCATACATAGTTATAGATGTAAGCAACCTCTTCACTTAACGTCCACTGCGAGTTTTCTTTGATTCGCGGAAAAAACCGACAAACGTCGTATCGCTGCGAGTCGCTCGTATAGCGTTCGTTGCAGGCTCGCGAACCACGTACACAACAAGTAACAGTAACGGTTACAGTTACGTGCGACGTTACGGGTTCAGAAATGAGTAAGTTGTATACGCCGGGCTCGCTGCAAACCGCACGCGTCTCACTTTTAGCAGGTTAGCGAACCCCGTACAACTATGTTTTTTTTTTGTTACAGTGCATGCTACGGTTACGGTTACAGCTCGCTAATGAGTACCCGGCTTTATACTCTTGGAGTGTTTGTTTTTAATTAATTTATTATTATAATAATAATAATAATAATAAATATTTCCAACACTCACACCAATTAGCCTAGCCCTAAAGTAAGCACTGTAAAGGCTTGTGTTATGGGATACTAGGGTAACGGATAGAATACATATATTGTACATATATAAGTATATTTATATGAAATACATATTATTATTATTGAAACTTCTATTTTTTTAAAATACAGGTATTATTTAATAGGACATTTTATACTAAAAGGAAGGAAAGCAGACCTTGCCTGCTGAACGCGATTCCGTACGACCAGCAGTTTGCAAGCCCGCGGGAGGAAAAACAAAGAAGGACGGAAATAGTAAAAAAGAGGTAAAAAACAGAGATAGGAAAGCAAGGAAAATTAATTTAATATATGATTGAGGCAAAGCGTAACAATTAAATTGTGCGCGTGTTAGAAAATTGTACATACGTGTAGATACATAAACAAAATCTGCAGTGATAATGATTTCTGTATTCTATGCCGTTTTTATTAAATAACATCAAAACTTAAACAAATGTTATATATGTACTTAAATAAAATAATATAAAAAGATGGTGTCGGCATCTGCATCTTTCCCATAAAATTTGTAACCCCCATTTTATCAAATGAAAGTCTAACTGATTCATTTGTAATGCTTAATGTACAGATTAGAGAAAACTATTTAATGTTTTCAAGAAAAAAAGAATCAAAGATAGGCCCCTAATTAAATCAAACATCTGATAGCATAGTTTATGGCACACTTGACCACTCATTATAATTAAAAAGTTGTTGTTGTTATTGAAGTTTCTGTGTAGATTTACGTATGAATATAATACTTGTATTATTTTTAAAATAACCAGAATAAAGATTTTTATTTAAGGGAAAACCGGGAGACTTGCCCAAGTTGGATTACTGAAGAATTTACAAAATTATATTTAAATTTAGAGCAAACAAAACCTCAAATCGTTCATTTTTAGATTGACGTCTCCGATATGGCCAACGAACGAATTGATATTTCGTTGGAGCTAAAATTAAATACAATTCTGAAAGATGGTTCAACTCTCCCACAAGGGGAGGTCTCCCGGTTTTCCCCTATTAATTCGGGAAACAAATTTTTACATACATTCATTATTATTTGATAATTATCATTATGTAATAAACTTATTCAGTTTCTACTTAACATAATATTTGTTCTTTCATAAAATACGTATATTTTTATATACTCAGAGTATATATAAAATATAATGGAATAATAGTAGCATAAATATAATATTTTTTCAATTATTAAGATGAAGTGTGTGTAGTATATTCATTGTTAAATAATAAGTTTTTTGAAGTAAATTTTGTCTAATGAAAAAGTAGAAAACTGTGTATTTGTCTGTTATTATTAAGTAAAAATTAATCATGGTCCCAAAAAAAATCCACTAGGAGGTAATATGTATTAGGGTAGACAAAAATAAGCCAATCCTTTATAAATTCATTATCATTAGAAATATAGATCTTACTTTGAGTGTCAAAAATCTAGTAAATGGAATAAGAAAAGACAAGTCAATGGATAGTTTCAAATTGTAAAATGTACCGTTTAAGGGCTCCATAATTACCGTAACGTCAGTCTGTCTGTCAAGACCCTTTGGTCTCGGGAACGCGTGAAGGTAACGAATTAAAGTTTATACTTAGGGTCCCTTGAAGACGTGTAAAAAAACTCCTAAGTTACAAAAAAGGTTACGTCCTTTTATATGGCTGTGTGTCAAGATCCTTTATCTCAGGAACTCGTGGAGGTATCTAATTGAAATTTAAACCATAATATACTCAAGTCTTCGGTCTTTTGAAGCTGCAAAAAATCAAACTTCGAGTTAGACTTAAAAAAAGATACGGCTGTTTATGTTGCGTACCTGAAAATTTGTACGGAACCCGCGGTGGGAGAGACGGGCTCGCACTTGTACGGGTCCTTTTTTTGTAAAGGCCTCATTACAAAACGTAGACTAAAATTAAACCTGGACTAAAACTGATGCTGTCACTTTTATTTGCTAAAAAGAAGACAGAAACAACAATAGGTTGAAACCAAAACTAACTTTAGTCCGCGATTTAGAAGAATGGGGACACCCGCGTTATGGAATAAAGGGGATTAGGGTTCTTGGTATAAAACAATATTTACCGAACAAGCTGAAGGTGCCGAATGTGCTCCGCAAGTGCCACCGGCTGCTGCTGCCGCCAAAGCACTGCTTCCTGGCACCTAACAAGGAACACATAATAACATTAACAATGAATCTACTAGCACTTATATAATTATGAAAGATATCAAAGTCTAAATACAGTCACCAACAAGCTGTAAAAGAAACAAACAGGTCTTAAACCAGGATATATATCTTATCAACCCAAGTTATATAAAGGAATTTACGGCTTACTGGGTGTAACATCTACCGCTGTCTAATATAAAGGTTAAATTGTAGCCAAATTACTATATCCAAATTTAGCATTATTCTTTCTACGTTAAGGTGGTGTCCACATTAACACGTAAGTCGCGAAAGCACCCGTTGTGTAGCATAAACGCAAACGCACATATTTTGGTCTGCTTGTATTGAGGATAGCACAAAATGGTCGATAATTTATTTTCGAAGTTCCATAGAAAATATTAACTCAATAATCAGGCTAATGTTGTGAAAGAAAAAATTATATCACTACAATATGGATATTTAATTTATTACCTTGATAAGTATATCCCAATATTTATGTATATGTGTTTTACATTGGGTTGTACATGCATAAGAACCACAAACATAATATATAACGCATGTAATTAATAGTAAAAATATGATAAATAGTAAAAAGCCTTTCCAAAAACAAATTTTAAAAGTGAATATGACCTTAAACGTAATTTCAATCTAAGGACATTGACTTAAATTTAACCTGACCGCGATAACTTTTTTTCAACATATTTTTTTCCACTTTTTAGTTCGGTTTTGGTAAGGCAGTAATGAATAAAGTTTTGAATTTATAACTAATTAAGCAAACCAACTACAAGGTTAAAATCATTTATAAATTTTGAACAAGGAAATAAACTCGTACCTACAATACGAAAGTTATATACGAAACTGTCGCGGCTTGTAGGTTAATGTGAACACACCCTTAATGGAAATTTTATTTAGGTTTTTAAGAACAGGTTTTAAATACTATTATGCGAAGAAAATAAGAGGCATTTGGGAGGCAGCTATATTATAGCAATACTGGATTTGAATAATAACACACCATATTGTGTTCCTATAGCGGCGTTGATACATGGGATGGACACTGTTCCACCTGCCAAAATTATACCCACTATGGAATAGAAACGATAACATTATAACTAGCTGTTAAAGAAATTTGCATAATATACTATAACGACTTATTAAAGTTACTATTGAGCTGGAATAATATAATATTAAGCCCACACATTTTTTTCTTAGATAATTTTAAGGCGATGTAATGTAATTTGGTTGATTTTTATCACTAAGGAAATGATTTTCATTCATAAAATATAACTTTACTCATTCTACGCTCCAATGTATTCCTTTTTTCGATAACTTGTGTTTCAAAGAAACTAGAAGCCATCAAAAATGCAAAACACAAATTAATTTTTATTACCACTAAAGACGTCTAGTGTGAAGATTTAATAAGCATTTACAAAAAAAGCAAAAACATAAAAGCCTAGTTTAACTGTTTATCATTCTTTTGGTAAAATTTATTTTACATATATCAAGGAGGAAATCGTCGGGAGCGAGACCTCGAATATTGCAATTTTAATACAAAATTTTCAGCGTTAGCTACTGTTTTTTTTTTTAGTATGTATGCTGTTGGTCGCAGATGACCTTTACAGCGTCACCGGGTTTGGGGGCGGCGAGATCCTAAGGGGACCTCAAGCCGAGAATTGGCAAGTGCCTCTAGAGTTATTTCAGGCGGATGGCATCTCCCAACGGGGGGAGTCTCCTCTCCGTCTGGAGCCTCTAGACCACTCGAACCTGAGGGGTCGGCTCTACTAGAGGGCGTCTCTGAGACTCGGACCTCGGCTCTCATTAGCCGTTGTCGTGGGGGGCGGGGAAAAACGCCCAGGTACGTACCTGTACCTGGTATAGCGTGTTGTGTGTAGACCGGGTATTCGCACTCTTATCCTACGGGTGCGGTGTCTGCCTAATGCTAAGCTAGTGTGCACGTTTGCTAGCTGTGTAATGTTGGTGTTTGTGGCCTGTATGAGAGGAATCGGAGGCGCGTTGGCGCGGGTAATATCGTCGTCGGGGTAGCTACTGTTGTCCCTATCGCACGGTATTTACCAATGCGCGACTGCAATAGTTCGTTTAAATACCTATTTCTCTAATGTCGTTCAGCTCGCTTCCGCTCTTAAGGTTTGTAAGATCTTTTACTGCACCTTATTTACCTTTACATAAAAAAACACCATAATTATACAAATCATATACGCTTGGGGGCATTTGTAAGGGAACATGTCACGAAAATTCTATCTATGACAGGAAAGTTAGCAACTATTTAGAACAATTAAATAATGATATAAAATGTTATACGCTAAACACTATACACCTTTCCTATCTTTTTCTTCAATATAGGCGGATTCATTTATTTCAACATGTCCTATTTAATCTTCTTTTTATGTACTAACAAGTTTAACAGTCAACAAAATATCAGAATATGACCATATATTAAATTAACTTTCTATAGTAGGAGTTCGATAGCGCAACTGATTATTACGTTCGGCTGCGATCGTTAAAGTGAAGCAACTTTCGCCGTGATCGGTCATTCGATGGGTGACCGAAAATAACCTATATCGAGTATATTTACTTACTGCTTCAGAAGGAACTTTAAGCTGTTGATCCCGGCTGCATCTGCAGTCGTTTACACCCACCGAACCGCACTGGGCCCGCATGGTGGGTCATTCCATCCATAGGGAAGGCCTGTACCCCAGGCACCATGCTTTATGTCCCCACTACATTAATAGGCTGATGTTGAATAAAGTGTACCTAAAGTGTTAAATTAACTATTCGTTTTTGGAATGTTCATTAACCCGTTATTTTTGTTTATAACTCGAAGAACGTGATATTAAATGTTTTCCCCAAGAATCGTAAGCATAAATACTTCAATATCGTTACCTGTTCTTGGGGAAATATTTACTTGGCTGTAACTCGGTATTGTTTATAAGGTGCTCATAAAAGAGTTCGTAAATAGTGATATTGAATTTCTCGAAGCCTATTATTATAAAGCTTATTAAATTTATAGACGTCTCGTCCTTATACTAAGCAGATTCAATGGATTTACCTGATAAGTTTTACATTTGATTAAAATGTGTAACATTGGTTGGGGAAAAGTCTTTTCGCATTATAGTTTGTATGAACTTGTAATAAAATCTCTTTGGCTATAACATTCGTATCTGGCTGATTTTGGTATGGAACTGAGAATTGACACACAAAAAATCCCGGTATTTCGGTGCCTCTCGAGCTCACTGAGAGAAACCTAAGGAAGCGTGTACTCATTTGTGATTCTTTATTACGATGTTATGAAACTGAACCATTTTTTAAGAAGCTTATAACTTTATTAAAAGTGAATCACGTACGACAAGAACGTAAGAAAAAGATCCGGATTTGCCAGAGTCTGTGAAGCCGGTCAGGCTTCACAGACTCTGGCAAAACCCGGGTTAACTCGCAACAAGGTGATGCTATGTGTATATGGTAGGATTGGAAGAGCATTATTAATTATAACCATTGATTCTGCACTCTACTGCGCACAACTGATGAGATCAAAGTAATAGGTTGAGAGAAAGCGGGCGGAATTAATCAACAGAAAGATTGGAACAGAAGGTGTGGTTTTTCATCATGATAACGCTAGACCTCACACATCTCTAGCCAGTCAGAAAAATTAAGAAAGTTTGACTGGGAGGTGTTAATACATCCGCCGTATAGTTCTGACCTTGCATCTTTAGCTTTCCACCTGTTTCAGTCTCTTCAGAATTCTTTAGGCAGTGTCAGATTAACATCACGAGAGGTCTGCCAAAATCACTTGTGCAATGGGATCATATCCCTACCTACAAAATAGCAAACAATTATTGCACAAAATGGCACCTACATTAAACTTTAATAAAAAAAATATGTCGTATAAAATGCGAAGAAACTTTTTCCCCAACCCAATATATTGTATTTAAACGTCTTATTATTAGCATACACAGTTTAATTCTTTCAGTGACAGCCAATCGCTGTTCACTGTGAGCTAAATACTCTGTATCTTGATTCTTTTCAACACCAATGAAAAATAAATATGAATTCGAGATCATAGTAACGGATTAGTTATATCCAAATTAAATAGTGTGGTATGTGAATAACTACCCGTAAGAACCTTACATACCACAGCTTTGAGTGTGAAGACAAGTGATTCCCTTATGGTACCAATAAATAATGCAAAACACTTTCGCTTATGGTAATGATAGGTTTATAAATCTGCAAGACTAGCTCTTTGAATGTCATCTACTTTTATTAACACCCATCAGGCAGGTTGAAGTTATTAATTTCCTTAGAGCGAGGCCACAACACTGCTTGGCAACATTGCAACGGAATACGATGCAATGATGCAAAGGAATATGATGCAATGATGCAACGCAAAAAAAATCGGAACGGCCGGAAGTGCATCGTAAAATTGCCCTTATCGTTGTGCGACGTTGTAGATTTCTAGAGTGCGACCAATACAAAAATGCAAAAACCTTCCGCCTACGATAATCACATTTATTCATACAAAGAGATCTAATATTTCTACTAAAAAATCAAATGTTTTACCTTCAACTGTTCCTGTTTGTAGTCAGGCTGATATGGCAAGAGCATCCGTATCTTGCCCCAGCGGTTAAAGAATAACGCTATCGCACCAATCCACACTAGAAGTACCATAACTACGATGCCGATTTCCACACCACGTATCTGTGTTGTAAAATTTATAAATTAATATTAAACATATACTACAATATTAACCAGGTACAAAGCATTTGTAATAGAAAGACCGCTTAGGGAGGGATTGCTCATCTTAAAGAAAACTATTAATAAAAATATAGTGATATCTAGTAGAATAATTTGATAAAACGAATTTTCGTGAAACTCTAGGGATTTTGCGAAAACGCGGATAATTAGACAACAGCGATGACATTTCTCAATGTTACTGAAAAAATACAAGATTTTTGCGAAAACGTGAGTCGCATCAGTAAGATTGCGAAAAGAATCATTGGCTTATTATAAACTAGCGGCTGCCCGCGACTTCGTCCGCGTTAACTTTAGTTTTTTGAAAATCCCTCAGGTACCTTACATTGTTTTGGGATGAATAGTATTCTATGTCTTAATCCAGGTCATAAACTTTATGCGTAAAAACATCCAAATGCGTTCAGTAGTTTTTGCGTGATTGAGTAATAAACATTCAAACTTTCACGTTGCTGGATTCTTAAGTTCATACTAGGTTAGGTTAGGTTTGTGTTGTGACCATTACGCGCGAGTCGAACGAGTGCAGCGATCACGTCACGGCAGCAGCCGACGAAGCTCCAGAAAAAAAACGTTAGCAGTATCGTTGAGCAATGTCAGCGCCATTGGCTAATGAACTGTGTTTCCATAAAATTACTACAATTTATATACTTGTTGCTTCAGAATAGATGAATATACAATTTTCTGAAGCAAAAGTAGTAATAAAACAATTTTCGTCGCAGCAAACTTCCCTGTATCTGTTGATATCAGACTATTGAGTCTCCTTTTCTATTAAACCATGCGCGTATATCAATACATTGTTATGTAAAAACTAAAACTGGTACGAATTTACCAATTATTTCCAATTCATGAGACTAATAATAGACCACTGCCAACTGAAAATATATTCAAACCTATATTCCATTATTCGTCTTTTGTCGATTCATCAGTAACTGTCGGATACACTGATTATATTCGAGTGGGTGATGCTAAAGTTAGAATCATGTTAGCTCATAATATGGAAAGAGACATTTGCATAATAATATGAATAAAACCGCCCTTTATAGCACAGTGGAATGGTGAGGTGACATGGTCAAGAGAGCATGACATGGTTAAGCATTTTAACTGTCATATGGCCATGGCTTAAATCTAAAGAAAATTTTCCTAGAAAAGTTAATAACTTTTCTTCTTTCAAATGTTTAATACTTGTAAAGGTATTCATGTGAAATTGTGGGTTATATACAATGCGAAGAGACAGCGCTGCCTTACAGCATAAGAAACATCAGAGAAAATTCGACATGGACATTAGGGCCGCGGTAGCATAATGGTCAGTGCATCTACCAGGATAGCGGAGGATGCGGGTTCGAACCCCGTCTGCTGCCTGGCCCGCGTGGATTTTTTTCAAGGAAAATTTCCATTAGGCGTAAATTTTACAATTTAATTCGTAGAAACAATGTCATATCCGTACGAGTGTTTAATAAATTAAAAGTAAGATTAAAAAGAAACATTTTTTATCGTCAACATTGGACAAGTTACGAAAGCAGTTTATTTATTTTTAATACCTAAGTTTCAGTCATTCAAATATGTTATTGTTAATACATACATAACCAAATTTGAATTGAGACAGTCACAATAAACAAAGTAGATTGGTAGTAAATTTTATACTAAAATAAAGCTTCCTAAAATTGAAGATCGTAAAGATGTACATATTTCATGTTCTCGATATATTTGATTACGTCGCAATATGTCTTTTTGTTGAATATTCCTCTTCTCAACATGGTTTATGTTGATTTTTCGATATAATCAGAACTGAACAACATGTTTGCGTGTTCTTCAACCATGGAGCCTTAACACAACCTGGGAACATTCATTTATTTAGCTATAATATGATATAAACGTATCTGATGTAACCAATTTACCCTATTTGCGGCAAATAAATAAAAAAAGTAATATCCGCCGACAATTCTTATCATCATAGAGATTGAAGATAGCACGGTATAGTGATATTTAAACATATTGACGGATATGAAGTTAGCGCAAGTACTGCAAAGTGTGTGCAACTTCATAGTTGTAACCACCATAAAGTTTGAAAGCACTATAGTAACACGACCTCATCCTTGACAGGTATTATGGGAATATCTCTGAATTATTGTCTATGGTTTAAGTAGGTAATGAACTGCTCATTTCACTAAGCCCTAAGCTGGAAAAAATATGTGGAAAGAGTCCTCACATATCGTGGTTGCGCATACCACCGCTAGCGAGAAAGGCGTCACGCCTTTCCCAGACATAGAGATAATGTCTCATAGTCTTACCGTTAGGTAGGAAGCTGCTCATATGACAGAGCCCTTGAACGATATAAGTTGGGAGTATTGTTTGTCCATAGATCCTCGTTCCAAAACCCAGTGGTGAATAAGGCGTCACGCCTTCCCAGACTTAAAGAAGTCTTAAGTATTTATCATGCCATTCCAAAAGTAGGGAGCTGCTTATATCACTAAGCCCTTGGACGAGCCTTTTGAAGAGTGAGGTCCTCACAAATTATCTTGGTGGCAACTTCGTGTGGCGACATAGTCGTCAAGTTTTCTCAGTCATAAATAGAGGTCAAAAATTCATACTGTAGGGAAGGGAACAACTTGTTTTACCAAGGATCTTTTTTCATCTTGGATGAAATGAGTTGGGAGGAGTCTTTACATATCCTCGTTATAAACCCCGGTTACCACTGGGAACAATGTAATTCACTTGTTACGTTGTTCCCGGTCACAAAAAGAGGTCTTATGGTCTGTAATGGGCAAGATCCAGGTTATTATGTCGCGTACTGAGTTGAAAGGAATGAGTGGAGAGGGATTCTCACATATCCCCGTTACGTTGAGGAAGATGTCACGCATTTCACAGTTACAAATAAGAGGTTTCAAAAACTCACCGTAGGGAAGGTGGGCGACGGGTCAGGCGGGGCCACGGAGGAGCGCGGAGTGGCCCCCACCAGCCCCCCATCCTGCTGTGGTGACGTCCGTGGTGGCTCTGCATAAACCAAAAATACTTATATAAATACTAGTTTTTGCTGCGGTTTTGTTAGCGTTATAGTTCGTTCTTTGAGAGTCTCACAGGAACCTAACATGTCTACGGGATAAAAAGTATACTATTTTTCAAGTCAGGTTATAAACTACTTATCATCATCATCATCATGGTGGTAAGATCATGATTAAACTACTTAAATTAGAGCCAAATTTCATTCGAAGAGATTGAGCCGTTTTTGCGTAAAAGAGTAGTTAACAAATATCAGAACATTCAAACTTTTACATGACTTTTCTAATACTGGTGTCGATTCTGACATGATTCTCTAAAGTCAACTTAAATTTGACAATAGTATATCCCTGTCGTTCTTTATACAGAATGAAAAGGACAGACTGACCTTAAATTTAGTTTTAAGTTCAGAGAATCGTGCCAGAATGGACATCACTGTTAGGATTAAAGCGCTTAACCACGCTAAAGTTAAGAGAGATAGGACATAGCGGAGTTTCCGCACGAATGGGGGCGTCTGGGAAAATAACCTTTACCTTATAGAAGATAACAGTAAAATAACACTATCTTTTGGTGGTGTTGTGTTTCTGTCGCTGAGTAAGGTTCCAGGGCTCCTCGGCTTAGGGGATTGGGTTAGGGTAGGCAACGGAGCAAGTAATATTTTACGTAGGTAATGCAAGTGTCTATAGCCTATGGTGGCCGCTTACATTCAGGCGGATCATAAGCTTGTTGGTCACCCTTTTAACATATACAAGAGTTTTATGAACGAAATAGAAGCCGGAAACATCACTACATCAGAACTACGACTAAAAGAAACTCTGTCTCTTTGGAAACAAGTGAAAAAGATACAATATCGGTTATTCATTATTGATCCCAGTGCTGTCACAGATGTCCATGAGAGACTATCATTTACAATAAGTGTACTGCCTCCTCGCGTGTTGCCAATATTTTATAATACAAATAAAATATTAGTTTCAATCGTATCAGTTTTTACTGCGACTATTTTTGCTATTTTTAAACATAAATATAGATCTCCACACTCTATTTAACTAGACACATACATATAACATCAGGTCGGGTAGAGTATATACAGGGCGTAAAAAATCCTATGACAAAGACTTAAACTACGCATTCTGTATACCCACAAAAGTAAGATTACAAAATATTACACGTGGAGAAAAAATGTTTTTTTAAATTAAAAAAATACATTTTTTTCCAGTACGCAATGTATAGCTCGGCGCGCTACTGTGCCGCTACGCAAAGAATGTGCCTGTGTTTATGTGTAAGTGCATCGATAAAAAAGTTTCTTAATATCGTTTCGAAAATATTAATGTAAAAATCTTAGAAAAAACATTGCGACTGACCTTCGATATCTCCATAACCATAAATTTCCCAGGTATGGACCAGAAGACAAAAATGATCGTCATGGTTTGGAAAATACGTGGCCTTCAACTTCGTTAAAGGGTTTTTTACACCCTGTATAGGCTTTGTTTAAGGATATTTTTGGCATTCAAAAATGTAACATTCAGCAGTTACAGGGTACCTCGGGAAATTTCCCGCTCGGATTGGAGCGCCCGTCTAGGGAAGTAATCTCCAGCGCATAGAAGACACAGTATAATAACACTCCCTTTTGGTCGTGTTATGTTTCTGTCAATGAGTATTTAATAGATTTGGTATCACAAGCGTGGGCTATCGTCCCTTAACATCAGGCGGGTCATATGCTTGTTATTATTACCCTTTAAATATTATCAATAAATTGTATGGACATATTATAAATCAACAAGATAAGAAAGAAAGAAAAAGTATTTATTGGCCAACACGCAAATACATTTGTAGAAAAAAAAAACAATGAGCAAAAAATTAAACAATACAGAAGAGAAAGAAGAATGGCCAATCAGGACCCTGCCTCAGCTTAATGCTGTTATCGTGGGAACGAATATTCCCACCATAACAGCGCTGGTATTCTGGCAGGGCCTGTACAAGGATGCCAGAGGGATAAAACATTGAAATAATATAAAATTACCAAAAAGTATATAAAAAGGAAGTTCAGTGCAAAAATATATAAATATTAAAATACTTAAACTATGTAACATAAATAATTAAATTATATAAGCATAATATATTAATAAAGTTATAATGGTAATTAGGCCGAATATGCTACTCTCCTCGCCCCCCCTGCGAAAGCCGCATCCGAAGTGCAGCCCCGGAACGCAACCATGCCGGCCCGCCTTGACATTGACAGTGACACTGCACACTGACAATTTCTGAGTTAAAATTCTCCCTGAAGTGCCACGTAACACGTAAATAAACACATTGCCACGCACGATAGAACGCCATATTGCCACGTATATGACAATGTTTGTCATTTGAAAGACAAGAAACTAAAGACAGACCGTGTATAGATATTCGGTGTCCAATTATGTCCCACACCACACTGACGACAGAACTTTTTGCTAAGATAAGATAAGGAATCCTCACTAAGAATGGCTGAACCACAGGCTGAAGTGTCATTATTGCAGATGTTTGTGTGATGAATACGTGAGCATTTGTACTCCAGTCATGGATGTTTAATATGTACTTCATATAAATATACTTATATATGTACAATATATGTATTCTATCCGTTACCCTAGTATCCCATAACACAAGCCTTTACAGTGCTTACTTTGGGGCTAGGCTAATTGGTGTGAGTGTTGGAAATATTTATTTATTATTATTTTAGCTGCATCAGATATTTTCAGGACTGAAATGAACTTACACTTAATAACAGGCGGAGGCGCCGGCGTAAGGTAAACTGTTATGCCCAGTATGTAAAGGTGATTTGGTTTTCTTCTTTCTCATTCCAGAAATACTTCCGTTCTATATATTTTTATTTAGGAAGGAATAACATGATATTTTGTTTCGGAGAAATAAAACTAAGCCAAGCAATACTAAGCTCTCTAAAACCCATTTCGTAAAGGCAGCGACTGTGAGAGCCTTCAAAACACGATACAAGCATTAGTTCCTAATGCACATTTCTAACAGAACACCGGGGTTGCTACATTTCCAAAATAATTACCAAATATTAAAAATAATGATTTCGGTTGGTACAAATATAATTATTATGAACTAGCTTTTGCCCGCGACTTCGCTCGCTTTAATATTGATTTTATGAAGTAATTCTCATCGTTGTGATATTGTATACATGATATAAAAATAATGGGTAGATTTTGTTTTTATTTGTGTATTTTTATATATTAATAACATCTTAAGCGGCATTTTTTTATTATGAATTATTACACTGTCATAGAATACTTTAGTCAAGTAGTATTATAATATCGTTAAAAAATTGTAACGATGCCACCCATGTTGCTTAAGCGATAATCTTGAAATGAAAACTTTTATAAAATCGATTTAAAATAATATAAGGAAAGAAAGTATAAGGAATGGTCATAAATCAATTACAACTACTAAGAGCCTTATAAAAGCATAGAAAGAGAGCACTCAGTCAGCTTAATAATAGCGTTCACAAAGTATCTATCTAGAAACGAGAATTGCCCTGCAAGTAGAGAAGTAGATATTGGATCGAATACCTAGGTCATATTTTTATATCTAAAGATTTTTTTAAGCGGGAAGATTGAGACCTGAGTTATTCTAAAGTTATTGTTTCTTAGGTTTTCACGCACATCACTTATTAAATAAAACTAGTTTTAACGGGTTAATGCACGAATTTTATTTATTTATTGACGTTTCGCAGCCTTTTCAGGTCTGCATCGTCAGAATACTGATTTTTTATTTACTTTGTCGAGCTATCTTTGAAATTATTAGAAGAAGCTGCGAAACGTCAATAAATAAATAAAGTTCATGCATTAACCCTTTAAAACTAGTTTTATTCTAAAGTAACTTGAGATGTGTAAGGCACAGCGGACTTTCCGCTTGAATTGGAGGTTCCCGTTTAGGGAAGTAACCTTGAACCTACAGAAGATCACAGTTACAATAACACTACCTTTTGGTGGTGTTGTGTTTCTGTCGGTGCGTATGGTACCAGGGCTCCACGGGGGTTGGGTCCACCCTAATCTGGACCAGCGGGCGTGAGGCGGGTGAACTCACGCCTGTATTGCACGGTCGCAGTTGATGGAGAGGGATGCCCAAGGTGTGCATGGGCATCCCTCCGCCTGTGGAGTGGCCCGGCGCAAAGCCGGGCCCGCCGGGACGATGTGGTTGCTTCCCAAGAAGGATCCCACATCGTCACATCCGGAGGTGACGGCACACCCCAGGGTTTTAGTGGGTAGGCCAGTATGGAGAGTCCCACATAACCCTGTTGTCCACCCAGTAGCAGGGTATGCGCAAAACATTTCCCTGGGTAAAAAAAAAGGGTAGGCAATGGTGCGAGTGATATTTTCGGTGTCGCAAGCGTCTATGGGCTATGGAGGCCGCTTAACATTAGTCGGGCCAGACTCTTGTGTACCATACTTTTAACAGTAAATAAATGAAAAAATATAATAAACTAATAAATAAATATTTTCAACACTCACACCAATTAGCCTAGCCTCAAAGTAAGCACTGTAAGGCTTGTGTTATGGGATACTAGAGTAACGGAGAGAATGCATATACTGTACATAAATATAAGTATATTTATATAGAAATACATATTAAATATCCATGACTGGAGTACAAATGCTCGTATTCAGCACACAAACATCTGCCCCCACCGGGATTAGAAACCGGGACCTCTCGAGTAAGTGACACCTTGAAACCCGGCGTACAAACCACTCGGCCACGGAGGTCGTCAAATATTAGGCAACAACGTTTCTTAAATCTATTTAGATACTAGCTGTGCCCCGCGGTGTTACCCGCGGCTCTTTAGGGTTATTTCCCGCACTAAAACGTAGCCTATGTGTTAATCCAGGGTTTCAGCTAACTCCATATCAAATTTTATTAAAATCGCGGCAGCCGTTTAGACGTGAAGAAGTAACAAACATAGACACTCACAAACTTTCGCTTTTATAATGTCAGTGTGA